ATTTTAAGAGCTGCATTTGTTTTTCTCTTTCAACACCAGCGAGAAAATCACAAGAGAATAATAAAAAATCTGGCAGTAATAGCTAAATGTGGCTTCACTATGCAGTTCCTCCCATTTTATATTGAGCGAAAACTTTCATCCCACGCCTCACTTCCGGGATTCTTCTTCTATTCTTAAGATTATGCTGCATCTACCACTACAATCTAATCTAAAGAAATAATTCATTTTATCACCACGTCGTCTCTTTGATATTATATTCTATCTCATTTCTCGTATTTTTGTCTATATTTTCTGTCTCATCGGATATTTCTTCCTTCCACCTTCGTCTACCGTGTACTTCTGCTATTTCCAGTTTAGCAACTTTCGGAGCTAGACGATCTTGGAGGAGACTGTGCGCGTCCAGACCCATTGTGGTTCCGATTCTGATCTTAGCTTTTTCGAAAGTAGCTGATAGTTTCTCTTGCACAACATTGATGCACATTGATGTGAGGGCCAAACCAAAGAGCAGGTAGATGAAGGTAGCTATCATATAGATGGGATGTTCAGGAATGTAGTCACCGAAACCAATGGTGCTCATGGAAATGAAAACAAAATAGAAAGCTTCAACAAAGCTCCAATCCTCCCATAAGGTGAAGATGAACGCTCCAATCATGATATAAATAACGAGGAAAAACAAACCGAGCGAGATTGGTAAGTTAAACTCGTCATCACTTTCGAAAGAATCAGATGGGGTTGCGCCACTTGCTTTATTATCAAGTTCAAGGTCATATTTTCCATCCATTACTCTGATAAAGCTAGACGAAGTTTTCTCAGAATCCACAACAGAACTGGTTGGGTCAGTTTCGTTGTCAGAATTTAACTTGACAGTCATATACTGGAAATATAAAACATTGGGTAATTTGAGCTGTACTCAAGAATAACATTATAAAATTACTTACATCATAGTTATATTGTTTAAAACTGATTATATTTCCTTTTTCCCGTATTACTTATAAATCCAGAATTGAATAATTATTTCATAAAATGTATATTACATTTGATTATCAATAAATGACTTTACGTCTTTGTCGATGATCGAGCTCCAACACATTCACGGTTTCATAATTAATCAAAACATGAAAAAAAAATGAATGGAGACTGTTTCTCTAACGATAATTTAAAATATCTTTCTTGGAAATGTAGATTTAGTTAGTGTAATGAATATATACATGGTGGGCCTTGAGTGTAATGAATATATACATGGTGGGCCTTAGCGATCTTTCCAATAAAGATGCTAAGGATACTAATTGTGTTATATATTAGTTGTCGATAAATGTCACATACGCATTGTTGACGGTAGATGATACATCTGAAACATTGATGTATAAACTGATTCATTGATCGTATAAGTACAGTTTAATCATGAAGAAACGTTTATTGTGTTACTTTTAGTTTCGTTTTTCTATATTTGGAGTCTCGCTTCGGTTCACCCTGTATATATTTAGATATTAGTTCGTTCAGGAAATTCGAAAAGGTTAAGCTAGGCGGCATATGAAAGAAATAAAATGATTTTCTAAAGCGTCCTATTTCTTTCATCAGTTTAATACAAGAGTTTATGAAATAAAACCGTTTTTGAAAATAGTTTTTTATTGTTTTTACTTTTAATTGAAGTGCCTAAAGTTGAAGATGACTTAATCATCTTTACAGTTTTAAAAACCTTCACCAGCTCGACTTAGTCAATAATATAGCCCCCCAGTGGCATAACGGTATGTCTGCTGAATTACAACGCTAGAATCCGAGTTTCGATACCCGTGGTGGGCAGAGCACAGATAGCCCATTGTTTAGCTTTGTGCTTAATTCCAAACAAACAAACAATACTATAGTCACTTAATGGAACTTTATATTATTTTATACGAAAACTTTTGCCTAGTGTAAGTACTTTTTTTGCTGAGAAAAACATTGTAACTTAATATTAAAGTTTATAAACATTAATATTAGGTTGGACAAAATTAAGTAATTTTGATATAAGGATGAACACAGTTTTAGGCTGAAGAATATCATCAAGATTTGTCTGAGTGAGATGTCCATCTCATTTTGAAATGCCTTAAAGATTACATATGGTGAAAGTTACGTAACACAAAGCAAGTTGGTGAAAACGTAGCTTAACATGATATATATGAACTTTTTTATTCTTAAACATATAGCATATTGAGCAATATACACACACACACACACACACACATATATATGTATATATATAAAATGGATACACAGTTACAATCAGAAACAATAAACTGAAGAAATACTGCCTTTTAAACTTTGACCAAATATCTGGCAAATAAATGATAAACTAACTAAAACTTCCCTGACTATTGAAATTTTAATAATCATAATACGGAATACAGATTATCTTACCAAAACCTGACTTGTACAGAATAACCTATCAGAATGTAACCAAATATTAGATCGTCAAGAAATTAATGTCGCTTTTTTTAAACGAAAAAACCCGAACAACTTATATATCAAACAAAACATTTATTAAAATGAAATAGTCTCCATTCTTATCGATGATGCTTTTCCATCCTACAATCAGGTTGTTAATGCTCTGATTAAAGAAATCACTTGGCTTTGAAACAAAAAACATGTCGATATCCTCTTTAACACCTTCTACATTTCATACGTTTTCCCATTA